TGTGTTAAATATTAACACAACTAAATAAATTAAATTTTATTTTATATAGCTAAAATTTAAAAGATATAGTCCTTAATCAATATAATAATAGGTATTTTGATTGTTCAATCCATTTAAAATTATAGATTTTGTTCTATCAAAGTTTATGAAACATTTTACATAATTGTTCATGTTAAATTTTAACATTAGGTCTCATTAAGTAAATATTTAAAAAAATAACTTACCACTTGGCTATCCATCTATCAAATTAATAAATATTAACAAAAATAACATACAAATTGTATTTTCATGTATTATTGATTTTTTATTATATAAAGTAAATATTATGTCTTAAGAAATTAAAATGTGTAAAAATTAAAATTAAAATTAAAACAAAAAAATTAGATTTACATTGTTTTTATTATCTATGTTTAATTTTAATTAATTTTTGTATTAACCATGTGCAGTAATAATATATTTTTTAATTTTTCTATTTTCAATTGTATGGTATGATAATATAATATCTTAAAATTTTAAGTATGTTATAAAYTATTAATGTAGTGTTCAAAAGAAAAATTTCACCATCATTAATCATTTCAAACTAAGTTCCCGGTGCCAAAATTACACAAATTCCAATTATGTATACAGRTTTTTCAGTATTAAACTGTTTTTTTTTTTATCATTGAAGTGTGGCTGACGTGTTATAATTATAGCCTTTGTCTTCAGCAGGGACCTGAGAAAAATATCTGTTTGTCCAGGTCTAATTTTTTTTGAATATCTTCAAGTTAACATTTATACAATTTGAGAGGGGGAAGTGATTTAAGAAACTAAGCTTTTCAAACATTTTTTAACAGAAATTATTTGCTATTAAAGATTTGATATTAGTTGAGAGTATTAAAATATTTAAGCGATTAAAACCAGTTAACTTTTAATGCAATATAAAGTTATAGCGTCTTAAATGAATACTGAATATTTTATACAAACAAATGTATTAGCAGACAGTTGTCCAGCTGTACAGGTAATTGGTAAAAAAGTTAACATTCTGGGTAATCAGGAATCTCACGATAGGCCAAGATGCCATCCCTGGTTATTTATATACAATTTTTGTGCAATCAATCATCAGTTGTAAAAATAGTTTTAGAATTTCACTTGAATATAATACAAAACCTTTATTACGAWGAAAAAATCTTGTTTGAATATCAAAAAAAAATGTTGYTTCTTGATACCAAAGAGTTAATTTTATATTTGTAGTTTGTCTAGCCTTTATCAATATAATAATTTCTACTAAAATGTCGATTTTTTCATGAATATAATATACTCGGCCACTCGGGCAAAAAGCCAAAAATTAAATGAAATTTGATATCAATGGGATTCAAGCAGATTAACGTGTCGTAATCCGAAAAATGGCAGCAATGGTGGCGGTGTTAGTTTCATAGAATGGAGAAATAGATTTAAATAGACTTCATGAATTCTGTATTTCTATAGTCCGAGCGGCAAGCGGCGATCAAAGGCCAGTAGACAGTCTGCACGATTGTCTGTCGTTGGACATCGAAGATTGAACCACTGACCCATTCATTCATAGGAATATTGATAGTAATAAATAATAATAAATAGTAAAAATAATAATAATCATAATTTAAAATAATATTTATATTCTTAATACCTATGAAGCAATGACCTAACCATGGACCTAACCCATTGACCTAATAAAGTAATAATATCTATGCGTTTCGTTCWCCGAWTAACAGTCAGTGTGTATTTTATTCGCTTGGAGCTCTAGTATACAGATATTAAATTAGATGTCTCTTATCAGTTATCACGGGCCATCATCGATGATGATAAGTTTCATAATAATATTATCATTATGATTTCACTCAATTTTACTTAAATACCCATTACCCGATGGCCGATACTGAATGTCGAATACTTTATTTTTAGTTGTTACAATGCTTAGCGGTTTATTAATTTAATAATATGCTTAAATTATAGCCTGTAGTTGTACTAGAGAACGCTAAGTCTTTGTTATATTTACTATTTTTTTTATTACTTTCTTCCATTCTGTTSTTTTGTTTACTTTGTTGTATTTATTTTATACTTGTATAATATACTAATATACTCCAACCTATTAAATACAATTCTAAAATTGTATTGTAGATCATTTTGTTTATTAATTAAGTTAAAAAGTCGCGCATTTAGATATGGAAAAGAAAGTCAAAAACACTAGTCAAAAGAAGAATCTTGCCAAAATGCATACTATGAAGTTAAACGATTGCAAAACAGTGATATTAAAGCTGGTGGATGAATTACTTGATGGTTTAAAAATTGATTTTTTAGTTAGGTAAACTTTAATAGTTTATGTATAACATGTATATTTTGTCCATTAGCAACAAGTATGATGTCCAATTCCCCTTCAATTAAAGAACAATGGTCCATACATTTGGTGATTGTCAACCTATTATCTAAGATTAATCAGTTAGAAGCTGAGTTTGAATTGAAACCCTTGTCTCAGAGAAATGACCAATCCATTGAAAAGTTGACAAAATGGGCCACTAAAAACGGTGCTATTCTTAATGGAGTAGAAATTCATCAATTTGAAAACTACGCATATGGTATGAAAGCTAATAAAAATATCACTGTTGGTGATAAGCTTGTGATCGTTCCTAGAGCATTGATGATGACTGAAGAAAATATACGATCATCTCCATTATGTAAGTGTTGAGTTCTTAAGAGATTGTATTTGATCACATCATTTTCTAAACTTACCTATACATTTACATTTAGGGAAATTACACTCCCAAGACATGATGCTGCGTAATATGCCGAACGTGGCTCTAGCAATATTTATTTTGGTTGAATCTTTGCGAAAAGACAAGAAAAGTTTTTGGCATTCATATTTAACCACCTTGCCTGTGACATATTCAACACCAGTATATTTTGATGTAGCTGATTTGGAAGCTTTGAAAGGATCACCTGCATTTGGTATTATATGCAGTTTTAATGCATTTTAGATTGCTTAAATACATATAGTACATAATCTATAGTATATTATGATGTTTACTTTTAACTACAAATAACTTTATAAGATTTAATTTGTTTAAGAATTTCTATTTATTTAAGACAATTTCGTATTTATTTTCATCATAATATAGTTTCATTCATTTATCATATTGCTCCAGATCTGTATGTTTGTATATTGGCAGATTAAATTTTACATAACATTTTTTTGATCAGCACTTAGTTATTTACACATTTTTATGAATCTAGAAGCAGCACTGAAACTTAATAGAAATATAGCTCGACAATATGCATACTTCAAAAAATTGTTTCAGGTAATTATGGCAAGTTATTATTATTTTTAAATTATTATTGTGTTATCTATGGCTTATGGACATTTTTTTCTTATTGTAGTTGTATTGTAGCTTCAATATGTAAAACAAAATTTAAACATTAACTTTACTCTATTTTTACTCAAGACACAAATCCCATTACAATTTATGTACACCAGCACCTGTTTTTCTATTGCATAAAATATTTATTTAGTTATAAAATCATCCAACATTATTTAATTAAATAATATAACATAACACAAGTTTTAAATAGTGCTTGTAGCTTGTATTTGAAAATATGTATTATATAGAATGATAGTTTCAAGTTTTTAAAGTATTTGAATTTWAAAAAAAAAATCTATATTTTATATATTTTGAATATCATATTCAAACTGGTCTAAATCTTGAAAATTAGAAACATTTCTATCAGAGAGAAGCTGTTTGCTGGTTTTCTTTGTGCACTTTTATTTGTGGTATTAACTAGTTTATGTGAGAAATTAAAGAATAATATGAACAATAATATGTTATTTTGGATTAATAATAAATGTGTATTTATATTTTCAGCTGTCCAATGATCCAGCTAGTGTAATATTAAAAGATACGTTTACTTATGAGTATTATAGGTAAGTTAAATATATTTTGAGTTATAATTTATTTGTGAGTGTTTCTAAAATCTAATGAAGTAGAAGTAAAATTGCTAATAACTCTGAACAAAAAAATCACTCTTGTAAATTAAATGTTRTTAGGTTTCCATTATTTTGTATTAATCTTTGTATCTTTGTTAATTGTTTTGTTACACTGTCTAAGATTTGAATGATATTTGTCATGAATATATTTTTTACCCTTTATATGTTTAGTATAAGTCAAATTCAAAAAATCAATTAAGATAAATGCGTCGGATACTTTTGCTGTTATAGTTTGGTTTTAATATTTTTTTTTTTTTATTAATAATTGAATTTTATTAAACTTTCAGTTAGGCTTTAAAGTAATTTATCAAATACAAGGTTCTAATTTTCTGTTAATTTTTGTGTTATCAAAATATGTTTTTGTAAAATTTAAAGTATTATATAGTTCTTTTAATATTTATTTTTAGTTACTAATTAATCAATAATTTAAAACCTTAATAATTACAGTGATTTTTTTCCTAAATTACAAATTACCAGGGTACTAGTTGTCAATATCATATATTATAAAATATAACTTTGTAGTTTATAATATTAATGATAATATGTGTAGAAACTAGAAATAGAACAGTAGAATTTTAGTAGTGGATTAATTTGATTTATGTAGAAATAGTTTCTTGTACTGCATCATCCTGTGATATAAAATTTTATTCTTTTAATTAATATTCATACCTTAAAGTCTGAATCAAAATTTAAGATCTCTATAGTCATAGTAAATAAGTTGTCAATTTTATAATAAAACTTTTATTTATGTATTATGATATATTATTCTTGTTTAATATGAATTTGCTTAATAAATTAGTGGTTGATACATATTAATAGATAAAGTATTACTAGCTGTACTTTTTAGTTATTCAGGTCTTGTGAAGCTTAGGATATGTATAGTTTCAGTTTAAAGTACCTACATAGAATTCAATTAATGTGATAAAATAATACAGGAACACATTTTTTTCTTACTATAAATAATATGATTATTTTTATTGATTAAAAACAATATGTATCATTTATTTTAAATTGCGTGTTCATTTTAGCAGTATAAATTTAACAATATAAAAAATAATTTAAATTTTGCCCAAGATATAAACATTGAACAACTGTAACATTGATCAGTCATAACGGAATGTTTTCCTTAGTGTTCTCCACAGGTAATATTGACGATTAGCTGTTGTGTGGTCATCAATGCGTCCACCATATCCCTCATAGTATTGATCTTGGCAATGTTTATCCATAACAGGACTTGTACTACGGGCGCTAGATCGAAGGTCTGGGTCATGGTGTATATTATGTTGGCAAAAGACAGATTTTTTTCTTAAAACCCGTTTTTTTTGCCTCATTCTACACGATATGAGCAATACAAAAAAGCCCAGAACTGCTATTGCCAATATTGCAGCACTAGCTATAATGGCTGATTTAACGGCTACTGGCAATTTCCTCATTTCAAAACGACGGTATTCCAAATTATTTTCCTCGTCTATGTCTTTATTTCTATCTGAATAACTCTGATATTTGTCTAAATGATTTGTATCTTGAATGAATAATACCTGCGAAGGAATAGTTGGTGTTATTAATGGTCTTTGGGTAGTTTTTATAGAGAAATCTGGCATGCTATCAAAAAGACGTGGTTCTCTTTCAGATGTTTCTATAACGATTCGAGTTTTTGGGGTTTTTGAAACAAATGAAGTTGCTTCATTTTCTTGGTGGTTAACTGCTGTTGTATAGGTAGTCGTTGTCGGAAAACTAAATACTTTTTTCTCTTCAAAAATTGTATCCAAATTGATTTTACCTATTTCAGCTTCTTGTTCAACTTTCAAAATATTTAAATGCTCAGTGTTTACTGGTGGTTTAGAAAAGTTTGTGATTTCGTGATCTTGCGTTTTTTCCTTAGAAATTTGAATTGGCGACTGAATATCATCAATTTGTACTTCTTGTGTCMTCTTCGATACTTGTTCATTAGTCGTATTTTTATATTCATTGTTATGATTTTCTTCATCTGAATTTGTAGATTTCGTTGACGTCTGGGTTGTAATATTTTTATTGTTATCTTTAAAATGTTTTAAGTCATTTCTTTCTTTCGTTTGTAATGTAACTTTGTTCTCTTGTGCTAACCGTTTTGTTTCAATTAAATAGTTAGTGAAATTTTTAGTATTTTCTGTTATTATTGGTTCATCGGCACTTGCGTCAATTGATTCTTCTTTTGTGTTTATTAATTCTTGATGGCGCTGACTAGATCCCCGTTCTCTGTGTTGTAAAAGTTCTTCTAAAGACATGTTTCTAAGATTCAATACATTTAATAATAACGATGATCCAGTTTTTGTTTTTAATAAACTTAATATTTCGTCTTTGACCTTTGGTATACTATCAGATTTGAATTTGAATTCGTCATTGTCATTGCTCGGTTGCTCTTTCATCATTTTTGTCAGTGCTTCATCGTTAATTTGATAATCGTTCGTGCTATTATTAGATTCTTTAAGTTCTTTAGGTGCGTTTTCTGTCATTTTGAAGTCTGGGGGAAGTAACGATAAAGGTAGTTCTTCTTTAATCACTGTAATTTTCGGTTTAATTGTTGTTATTTCTTCCAATGACGTATTTTGTGGTTTCAAACGACGTCGTATCACTGCAGACGTTGGCGGCAAGTTACTATTTATCGGCCTTTTATGCAATACTATTATGTCGGCACGTGATGAATTTGATTTTTTCAATGATCCATCTCTATGGTTAATTTTGGTATTATCTTCTGTAAATTTATGTGTTGAAGATGTCGGTGAAATCGTAGTCGTTTTTGGTGTGCTGGTTGTTGTAGTTGCAATAGTAGTAGATTTAGGCGTTATTGACGAAACAGTGTTTGTGGTTTCTGTTRTTGTCTTAACTTTTTTCCATTTTCCTTCTTCGGTTGAGGTCATTGGTTCCCATCGCTTCACATCTTCGATACTTGTTTTATTACCAAAATCAGCTGGTCTGCGAATAAGTTTTCTTCGTGGTAAAATATTTTCTTCGTCTGCGGTGCCATCCCCCTCGATTAATGGCCTCCTTTGTAATGGTCGCCTTCGTCTCTTTATTGGTCGTCGTCGAACATATCCTTCTGCATAATCTGATTCCAGTGGTTCTTGATTCCATATTACAGGATGGTTTATATCTTCCTCGTACGTGTGTGTTGATGTCCTTGGACGTTTGCGCCGACGACGTCGTTTACGTCGGGGCTTTCTTACTAGGACTTCTGATTCATTTTCAGAAGGTTGGTCTGTAGGAAATGGCACTTGACTTTCAACTATTTCAGATGAAGCTTCGTCAATATTATCTTCAAGTTCGAAATCATCATTATCGTTAATTGTCTGATCGGAATCAAGTGTTTGGGTCTAAAATACAAGTAGAAAATAATTTTTAAAACAAATGATTAAATTTAAATTTATAATGGAAATAGTAGGTACTTACATCAGATGTTCCGTGAATTGAAGAGTTAGACAATTTTAGATTAACAGTTAATTCTTCTTTATTTTTAATACTATAAGTAACTGTGTTTATATTTAGTATGAAAGTGTAGATCAAAAATATCCAAATTACATTCTTCATTTTTCTGAAAAAAAAAATATATRTATATATTTATACAGGTATTTACATATATATTATATTAGGTATTTCAAAAATATAAGTAATTTTAATCAGTTTAATACAATCCATTTGGCGAATACATGCATGTAGATATTCGCAATTAATTGTTTTTATACATAAACTATTAATTTTGATAGACTGAATTAATTTGAGTTTATGAATAATATTAAATAATATTTTATCGTTATTTTAAGTGCATGAATATATACCTAATATCAATTGGCCAACAACCACTATAATATCGTTTCAATGATTTAATGTCTTTTAAATTAAATTTCAGTACGCTCTAGTAACTATACGTCAAATAACTTACAAAAATGATTGATGGTCAGTTGAATAATAATTGTGAACTTGAAAGAATACTTTCTCTGTCTAAATCGTGTGCATTCGAAAATCAAATAAAATGAAACTCATCTAGCTACTTAATGTTAGTTCATTGTCATCGTGTGTTAACCACGCGAGACATGTTTAAGGTTCATGGTACACTGGATTTTATCGTATCGAAATAATATTCACAATAATAAGAATATTACCAAAATAAATTGCTAAAAAAAAAGAAGTTTTTGCGGTTTTTCTGTAATCATTAGGTGTTGAATATTAATGAAAATCTCGCAAAAATCATACACCACTAATTTCGTTAAATTGACTTCTTTTTTTTGGCAATTAGTCTTCATRAATACCTACATGATAAAAGAAGTGAAACTAATCTCTGTATGTCCATCTCTATAACATATGTATATCAAAGTATTTGTAAAGTATTTACAGTTGTATATATAAAATATATTTGTCGAATTTGTAGTTTTCACGGTGGATTAGAATCGGATTGAAAACTGAAAAACGTCTATTATCCTTAAACACTATAATGTTATCCTCGATCATTGCAGTGTGTTTTTCTTATTTTCATTTGTCAGTAGAAAATTTGAAAGATTTATAATTTCACTCGACATTCTAAACAATAATGGTTATTATACCTTTTTGAACTTATGTCTTTTTTATCGTAAACCTTGAAGACATAATAGTATTTATCTACTGTAGTTATGCTACCTATACATAATGTCATAAGACTTGTAACCTATATATTGGTTTATTTCTAATTAATATTTACGAACATAAATTAAAATTGTTCGAATATATTATAATTTTTCTAAATGATTTGTAGAACAAATATATTAATATGTCTATGAATATTGAKGTTGTTATTAAGGGATGTTTTAGATGTAGTAACACTTCACATGTATTATTATGATCTTTAAAAGTATAGAATATAGTACCTACTACCTATTATAGACCTAAGTATTTACCTACGCTATTCGTAATGCTAAACGCTGAGAAATGTGACAAAATTAAGTACCTACGCGTGTATCGAATTAAAAATAAATCCCTGCAAGTTATACATATATAATGTTTGACGCATAGCATAATAATTATTAGTATTTGATGACAAGAGAATTGGTGTTTACAGAAATATTTAATATTAACATGCACAAAACCTGGGCATTTTCCTTTCTATCTAAATAATAGTTTTACAAATTTCATTCATTTTTAGAAGAATAAGATTCACAGCATTATAGRTATCAATGATGACGCATATCTTAGTATATAATTTCTTATTGAATATTTAAAACTGGTATTCGGTAGAACACTCAGTAAGAAAATTAGAATAATTATACATTTATACTTAATGATCATAATAATAATTGCGATAAATAAATTAAATAAAACCCGATGAAAAACCTATCCAGTTCCAATACAACTATATCCAATATAACTACTATTAGTTTTAATTGGAAATTATTATTAAATTATAAATTAAATTAATATATGGATTATGAAATTGTACAACATTTTTTGAAAGTTTTTTAAAAGCATATAGATTGTAAACTACAAGATGCGATATTCATAAAAGTTTAAGAGGAAAAATTTTAAATAATTTTTTATAGGTATCTAAATTGCATACCCTTCTTTTAAAATTTTTTATAAAATAGTCTCAAATATTACGATTTTYGTACGTTTTTTTTKGTATTGTTATGATACTTATAATAATAGATTAAACACTTCGCGAAGATAATAATTTTCACTATTGAAGCGTGTACACATGCAATTTGTTACATAATGAATACTTAACTCATGAATGTTACGGTCGGAATAAAATAAAACAATTCAAGAWTGAAAAAACTCTAGATCACACGTGATAGGGAGATAATCCAGTTAAAAAATTAAAATACAATGGATAGTAAGAACAGTGCAGAAAGAGAAAGTAATTGTGAGTTGGTATTTAGAAGCAGATACAAAAATGAATACAACACTTGCACCAGGAAATGGTCCAATTCGTATAATTGTGATTAAACGGAGCTATTGTTTTGTATTTTGTATTTTTTTGTTGCCATTGATAACAAAACACACCTTTTATGTTATTACGAATGAATTAATAAATTATAGGTTATTAAGTAATAATGTCCATGCTATACATATTACACATGTACTTACGTATAGATACGTATAAACGCATAGTAGGTATAATATATATATAGCAGGTTATAGTAGTTATACACCTTTATATGTAACTATGCGTTTTGATTTCTACGGTTGACACTGAAATTTTTGGCGAATGGGTAAAATAATATGTAAAAATAAAACGAACTATTGGCAYTATAAACACCTATCAATAATATGCCAAGCAAAACATCCTGTAGAAAGTTGTTCGTTTTTAAATTAAAATCTTGGTTATTGTATTTGTATGTCATTTCTTTAACATGTTAAAATTTGGCAGACTCAATTATTATGCATTTGTAATGTAGGTATATATCTAATATTAATACAATATGCYTATTTTTTCACATTCGAAAATTACGTGAGGACAATAATTATTTGTATAGTAAAAAATAAAATACGTAATAAGTACTATTATAACATTTTAAAACAGATCCAATAATTCGTCAAGATTAAAATAACGAGAATAGGTAAATTGTTTTTATATTTAAACTTTAAATTACGAGTGTCTAATATCTTTTATCTATACTAAAAACATATTGCTCCACCCCCGAAATTCGTTTCCTACCTAATTAAGGAGTTTTCTGTAAAGATACAAACTTTTGTTTTTCAAATTAGAATCCCTTTTATTTTTTATTATTAATGTCAATTTTTYCGTAAAATTTGATGTATCAGAATAAAAATTTTGTTTTTGAGTTATCTAAATTTGTGCTCCAAGAATAAAAGGTCGATGGTAATGACTAATGACCAATAGATATGTAAAATCTGAAGATAATGGTGATTTGAAAATTTTAATAATTCATATCTATSAATATAAACATTTACATTTTCTGTAAAATTATAGGAATATTAGAAATAGATAAATATACATCAAAATGTCCACTATTAATATTTCCGGTTAGACGTAATATATTTACTGCGAATGCATCTACACCAAATTTGGCATAAAGATTATTATTATAATAAATTTCAAATACATATGGGAAAATATTGCCAGCTGCAAACAATTYGCAGTAAYCAMCRTAWAYAGTAGGATTTTCCATATCACGAACATAATCCTCAGCAGTGGAAAAGTTGTCACCATATGAATTGTAAGACATATTAACAAAGGTATTCCAATTATCAGAGACATATGCAACAATTATATTTCGGACTCCTGGCATCTTTCTTGAGTCTTATATACATGAAAGGAAATTGAACGGAAAAGGCAGGCACATCACCGATAATTGGTTCAACTATATTTGATATTTCAACATTCCACTCACAGTAATTACTTCAATAGACATTTTTTATAAATRAAAGCGAAAAAATAAGATACAGAAAAAAATGGGGGTGAGCATGCTTGGCGGATCGCCATGTGTGCCACGTGTGTAGTGTGATGTTGTGAATAAGATTTAATTCCAATGTTTAATGTCCATTAAGAGCAAAAACTAGGTTGAGATCTTTAATAAGTTATTATTATTAATATAATTTGCACTATTAATCCGTGAACGTATATAATATTTCATGTTGTATAGTGATTCTAATRGATAATAGTAAACTTTAAATTTATAGTATTTATATTTTACGTTCAACAATGTGGGTATTTTATTAGATTTTTTAATTTATTTCAAAAAGTTTTGTAACACAAATTAATACTAACTGTAAAACTATTTCACAAATTAACGAAAYTAACGGTTATTATCTGTGAATTGCATAAATATGTGATTAAGTAATAATTGTTAACGACTACATGAAATAAAACATTAAAAATAAAAATAAATTTCAAAAAACGGAAATCTTAAAACTGTAAGAGTTTTAAAATGTTGCTGAATATTTTTTTTAAATACGATTTAAAAATATTAAATATAAATTATTATTAAGATTACAAACTGAAGTATAATTATATAAATCTGTATTAATATTTTATTATAGTTATTTTTGCATAATAATTGTACTGTTTTTAATATACTATTAGTATTTTTATTCTATATTAAAGGTATCGATAAAAATCTATAACCTACTGAATATTTTTACTAGAATTTTTATCCCCAGAATAAATGGTATAATTTTCCATGATAGCCTAAAGGTTAAATGTGTCCGGAGTAAAATTACCTTTTGCTAGAAATCATGTTTACCTATAGTAAAAATGTAATTTATCCTACATATTAACTTATATTTATGTAAAATGTTATTTTCAACTATAGATACTGGGTACTTTTTGATATCTTTTTTAACTTGTATCTTTTGAGTTTAAACATAGAATGTATTAATAATTTAGAGAATATTTTACATAATTCATGACTTYTGAGTTACGTAGGGGAATATTAGTAACTATAATAATAATTAGTATATTGGTTAAATGAGCTGTTTTATTGCGATATGAAATTATTTCTATTATTTTTATCAAAAACGTCTATTTAATCGTAATATTTCGTGTACACTAGTACACTTTAGAGAAAGCAAGAGTATCGTTCATTTCATTAAACTAAATAC